ATGGGAAAAGAGAGGTAAAGAGGCCAAAACTTCCCCAGCTGTGGGGCATCTCGGAACTCTTAATTTTCCTTTTTGATATGTCCCCTCAGCAGAGAACCCCTGGCCCTCTGAGGAGCTGCTAGGGTAAACCTTGGTTCCTTGTGGTACATGATCCCTCAGGTACATCGGCCAGAAAAGAAATTAAAGATTGAAAACTTCCACTCTAGAAATGGAAACCTCAGTATTTATTGAGATGGATATGTCTTGTAAAAGAATTACAGTTTATAACTGAAATGAAACATTCCCCTTAAAATTCAAACTCCTAAGGAGTAATAGCAAGCTTTTATCATGTAATTTTACTAAAGACCTACAAATCTTGAGATGTGGAATGAGTTCATTTCCAAGATAACAAACCTCACAATTTGGCAAGCAAATTAGAATTAGAATTAGATACAGATATCTTCATTGAAGTAAATTTGGTACACTCAACTTCAAAGTTTCAGAACTAAGAAGGTGAGAAGCCAGTTCATTTGATAGAATTCAAAGCTATCAGCTAACAGAATGTTTAAGAAGTACATCTTGAATACTTGCTTAGATATTAGAATCACGTTGAAAAGTATGAGATTGTAACCCTGGCAAGCAAACTGTTTAAATTCACAAGAAGGTTGAGATCCGTAAGCAGTGAAAAAACACATATGAACCATAACCCAACCTATTCATGTAGGTCAGTGACAGACCAGTAATATACAGAAAGACAGAGAAAATTGTGTCTTTCACCAAAGCAAAGAAAAACATATATGTACTGTATTCTTTATACTTAAGAAAATAAGTTAAATGTTTTTATGAGAGAAAATTAATGTTTTTATGGTAGGAAAATATATATAGGTGGAATGCCATGAGGAAATAATATAGAAGGAGTCTATGGTGTGAAGAAAGGGGAGAAAAAGGAGAAAAGAGATCTTTAAAAAGATTAACAAAGGAGGAAGGAGAGGCAGAAGGAAGAGAATAGAAATCAAGAGTGGAAATAAGGAGTCAGGGCAAATGTGTAGACCCTTAAGCAGGAGATAGGGTTTGGCAGTATTCCTCACGGTTCTACACTAAGTAGTCTGAGCAGTACAGGTCGGGGCTCTCCATTCCCGGAAGTACAGGCCTTCCTTCCACTCGGATCCCAAAGCTACCAAAAATAAGTTGAAAACTGATTCTTTGACAAAAATATAGACAAGCATCCAACAAAATTATTTTGCAGAAAGTGAAATAAGTATTAGATATTTAATATCAGATCTGGAAAACAAATCTCTAGGTAGAAAAGAGATTTATCAGGATAATCTGAAGACTTGGATATCAAAAAAAGAAAAGTTTTGGAGAACTTTTCAAAGGTGTTAATACAGTGATAGTTTTTTTTTAACTTTTATTTAATGAATATAAATTTCCAAAGTACGGCTTATGGATTACAATGGCTTCCCCCCAAAACGTCCCTCCCACCCGCAACCCTCCCCTCTCCCACTCCCTCTCCCCTTCCATTCACATCAAGATTCATTTTCGATTCTCTTTATCTACAGAAGATCAGTTTAGCATACATTAAGTAAAGATTTCAACAGTTTGCTCCCACACAGAAACATAAAGTGAAAAATAATAGATGATTTTTTTTAAATGATGATGAAATCAGATCAGACCTATTGTCATGTTTAATCCCAGTGAGAGTCAAGTTGGGAATTGAAAATTTCTTCTTCTTCTTCTTCTTTTTTTTTTTTTTACAGAAGATCAGTTTAGTATACATACAGTGATAGTTTTTTAAAGGCTTCAGAAAGACTATTAAGTTGAATTACTTCTAAATGCCTTGACTCTGATGATTAAGAAGGCACCAGGCCAGCGCCGCGGCTCACTAGGCTAATCCTCCACCTTGCGGCGCCGGCACACCGGGTTCTAGTCCCGGTTGGGGCACCGGATTCTGTCCCGGTTGCTCCTCTTCCAGTCCAGCTCTCTGCTGTGGCCCGGGAGTGCAGTGGAGGATGGCCCAGGTCCTTGGGCCCTGCACCCCATGGGAGACCAGGAGGAAGCACCTGGCTCCTGGCTTTGGATCCGTGCAGCACACCAGCCGTAGTGGCCATTTGGGGGGTGAACCAACGGAAGGAAGACCTTTCTCTCTGTCTTTCTCACTGTCTAACTCTGCCTGTCAAAAAAGAAAAGAGAAGAAGGCACCAGAGGGGCAGGCATTTAGCCTAGGTAAAATGCCTCTGCCCCATAACGGAGTGCCTGCATGTGTACCAGGTTCTGGTTCCTGACGTCAGCTTCCTGCTAACGCAGCACTAAAAGTAGCAGTGATGGCTCCAGTAGTCAGGTTCCTGCTGCCAACCCGGGAGACCCCAGCTGAGTTCCTGCTCCCAGCCTCAACTCAGGGCTGGCTTTGTAGGCATTTGGGAATAAATCAACAGATGGAAGAGATATCTCTCTCTTTTTTTCTCTATCTCTTTTCTTTCTCCCTCTCCCCCTGCTCCCCACCTCTCAAATAAATAAATAATTTTTTTAAAAAAGAAGCATTAGAGACCCTAACTTCTTTCAGTAAAGTATATAGATCAGAAAGCCAGGCGGCAAAAGATCAAGTGGGTAGGAAGAGATAGCTAGAGTTACCCGTTTTCAGAGTTTTAGAAACTCAAATGACAGAACCCAGCAATCAAGTCAGGTCAGAACTGGGTTCTCATATAGGTGTACAGGTGAAGAGTTTCTTGGATTTTCTGAAAGTGCTCCTGTTGCTACTTTGTAACCTGCTGAATAAGGTTGTACCAAAAAGAAGTTCTTAGCACAGTTTAAAACATTCTCACAGATGCTACTGTTGTTGTTTTTTATTATGGCATGCATTTTTAAAATTTTTTCTAAAGTAAAAACATTCAAAATTTTGTGATGGTACTATTTTTAATAACACTAAGTAGACAACAGTAATGAAGGACTTTGATTACACAGAATTGGTTACTCATTAGATTGGCGATTCAGTGACGTGTTAACTCCAAGTTCCTGTTACTAGTTAACACTTTTTACTCCTTGTACTCCATCTTTAATCCAATCTAATTCCCACTGTCCATCAGATCTCTGACAACTGCGTTGCTTTTCACTAATTTAGCACACAGAGGTTAATAAAACAGGCTACAACCATTAAAAATTGTTGAAAATCATTTAATATTTCATGTGAAGAATGCTGTTGTTCCACATCTAAATTAGGTAACTTTAGCATAAAGGTTGTCATACCCAAGAAAAGCAAACGCCCCCTGTGTACAGTTTGCTTTCTCTCCAGGTACAGGATTTGTAGCCTAAAAGTACAAATAGTCACCTTCAGTAGTTGTTTTGAAAAGAAAATATGCACCTTGGAAGCTGTGGGTAGTGGATGAAGGGAAAAGTGGTTGAAAACAAAAACATATTCAGGAAAGGAAAGCAGTGCTCATCTGCTTTTAAGAGCTATTGCGATGAAAAATTGTTCGGCATGAGCTTGATCTATATGTTTTTCATGGTTATTAGTAGTAATGAAGATGCATTAACCATAGTCTCTTGATAATGCTCTAGCAGTTTCCTAGTACTTCTATCAACATATAAATTTTACAACTGGCAGTATGGGAATTTCAGTAGTACATTTTTGTTTATAAAAAAGGGTAACAATATTATAACTTCTTCATATCTGTGAATTATGAATGTTGACTGGCAAACAAGCAAAACGAAATGCAGCAGAACTTCAGAATCAAGATAGCTCTCCTTTCTGCCACGACTCACGAGAAATGGGGTGCACGCAGGCTGCTGAGTGGAATATAGTGCCAGGGGTGAACGCCTCGTTAATGTAAAATTTATGAGTTCTTTTCATTTCATTCCTTCTTTCTTCTCAATAAAAATGTTCTGAGTGCCTTCTCTGTTGCTAACCCATATTCTCTGTAAATTGAAAACACTCTGCTTCATTAGGCGACAGCTAAAACCCACAAGTGGTGTGTGATCACCACAGGGCCTGAGCTCCTCTAGGAAGCATTATTTTTAATCATTTTGGGAAGGACATTAAATAGTTCTGTCCATTCAAGATGAAACTCGATACCAAAGGAGCCGTTTGAACCTGTCCACGCTTTGTTGAGTGACGAATGAGTAGATCGCTCTTTCCAAGGCCGAGCTCCGGGTTGTGGATTGGACTTGTCCTATCGCCAAAGCAGTGAAGCCCCAGTGCCTCGCCCGGGACGTTCCGCTGGCTCCCGTCGTTAGAGGAAGCAGGGTTGAAGGAAGAAGCATGGTGCAGGTTCCTTTTCGCTGTAGAACCATGGGACGGTTCTGCTTTAGAGCACGGTTTGGTGACAGCAGGGATGTAGCTGTTCTGTGAAAAGTAGAATTACTGTGTCAGTGCTGCCAGGTGGAGCTGGGGCCAGGCAGTGACAGGGAATTTGGGTTAACTAAAATCCCATTAGTGGATCTCTCAAACTTGATTATCAGTTTCCTACTGTATGAATAAGCAGCAAAATGAAAAAACAAGTTTCTATTAATGATTTTGCCAATAAAAATACAAACCTCAGTATTGTCGGGGTGTGGGATGGCCCATTCCTACAACTAAAAGAATTTATAATCATAACTATTCTTCAAGATAATAGCCCTAAATGCTGGAAGAGTCCAAGTCATGTGGGAAGTGACTGCTCACGTAACAGATGTTTGCTTGGTGCCCTGTACGAAGCAAGTCTGGCAAACTAGGGAAGCCAGGAGAAAAGGGTCTGCTTGGGGCAGGTGTACCTCCAGAACCACATTATTGGCAAGTGATAGGACCTGTTTGTAGAATGAATGAGTGGGAAGTAATGCAACTGTTTTCCATGAGCCACTTTTTTAAGAATTTTGTTTCGTTACTCCATGATCACTGAGTTTGCACTGCTCACCATATATGGCTGATGCAGTTAAATGGCCTTTTTCAAAGCTGACCGTGTTTTTAGATCAATGGGGTATAGGAAGTAGAGTCTTCTTCCAACTTAAGTAATCTCTCTGCTTATTATTTTGTTTGCTTGTTTGTTTTACAGGACCAATGCCAAAGGTGCGCCCCTGAATATAAACAAGGTCTCTAATAGCCTGATTAATTTCGGAAGAAAGCTGATTTCCCCAGCAATGGCCCCAGGCAGCGTGGGTGGCCCTGTAACTGGGGGCGGCAGCGGCAGTTCCTCTTCGGTCCTGCCCGCGAGAACCTCAGTGGAAGCCCCGAAGCATCACTTGCAGCAGCAGCAGCAGCAGCAGCAGCAGCAGCAGCAGCAGCAGCAGCGACTGCTGAAGTCGGAGAGCATGCCGGTGCAACTGAACAAAGGTAGGAGCAAAGTGCACGTGAACGCGGAGGAGACACCCACCCTGTGGCCTGGGAGTGCCTCGCCTGCCTAGGCGGAGCCAACCTCCCCGAAATAGAAATTCGTGCAAAATCAGGCTTTTGTAAATCTCAGAGTTGATCATTTTTAAGTTGGACTATCATAATCTGTCTTCTTAAGTGAGAACACCTTATGAGGTAATTCGTTAAGGTTTATTTTCACATTGATATCCTCGTATTCTTGATTTTTCGTCCTGTGGCTGCCCATAGCACAGGAGGGTGTGAGCTCACACATCACGGCCTTGAGATCAGCTGGTGTGTCCTCTGCCAGCTCCGTACAGTAGTGCTCCGAGCGGGGCGCTGTCTTTCAGAGGACGCGCTGGAATGGGAACGTGCAGTCCTGTGGCCGTTGCTGCTCACCGCATCCGTCAGTGCGTCGCTCAGGTTTGGAGGAGGCATGCCCCTGGGCCTGCATTCTCTCATCCAGCTGCTGCACCCCCAAGAAATGGGAAAGAGGAGATTAAGGGAGAGGTGGGGAAGCTGAATAAAATATTAAGCAGACGAAATAAGCGTTGAGTCCATGCTCTCGAAGACCTGTGTCTGCACTGTTAGCCCGAAGGGCAGTTGGGAGATCATCCCGTGCACACCTGTCCTCTGCCGAGGGACTGTTGCTGGCAGCACGCCCGTGCCCGGACTCAGCGCGCTCTGTTCTGTCTCAGGCCTTCCCACTCAAGCGAGCCCTTTACTCAGAAGAGAGCCCTTCGGTTCTTACTCCCACCCTCACTCTCTGATTTCCCACCTGCTTTCAAAGAGACCTAATGTGTTAGGTCCCTCTACTCAGAGCATGTCAGAAGCCAGCTACATTTAGTTTTCGTGGTGGAATTCTGCCAGCGATGCTATGAAAGCAAGAATTAGTAAAATCTACAGCAGTCAGTCCTGGACCTCACCACGCAGCCCTCTGGGGCCTCGCAGTGTCACAGCAGACATCCAGACCCAGGCCTCACTTGTGTCTTAAAGGGATCCCTGTGCTATAGCAATGTTTAGTGACTCATGTGGGCAGTAACAGTAGTAATACAGGGCCACTTCCAAAAGTCCGCCTGAAAAATTGCAGGATAAGTTCCTCTTTATGCAAAAAAATTTTGAAACCCATGCAGTTATTCATAATGCATCTTTTCCATGAATTTTTCCAAAGCCTTTGTATTGTAAGAAAACCTTGAACTGTGTTCCAAATACTCCGCCTAAGAAGATTGCACCCGAAATTATTAAAGACTTTACATATTGGCATTTAATTATAAACTTACGTTAAATGGACTTTGTTCCCCAAAGATGCGTAATAAATACTAGTCAGTGAGTGCACGGGCACGTGCAGGTGTGCAGTGTGCGTGCTTGTCTTCCTACATGGATGGCATCCTTACCCGTCTCTTCTGTATTTCTTTGCCTGTGTGCAACATTACACCATATATAACTAGTATGTAATTTTTTGTTAGAATACTCAGTTAGCCATACGTGAGAATATCTTGTTTCAAATGCATTCTTTCCTTTTCCACGTAGAGCTGTCACACATGATTTAAAGAACAGGAGATTTCAAATCATTAACATGTTGTAAATATATTTTAATGCCAGGAGACATGCCCACTTCCAGAATGGAAATGAATGTTATTTTACATATTTCTTAATTGTACTGTTTTATTGTTCTAAACAAATATGATTTCAATATTGCTTTGATAACAAGCTTTAGTCAGTTGTAATTCTAACTTATGGCAGGCAAATGAGTCAGAGAATCTCTTAACGCCGTAGCTTAAATTTTCTGAGGAACCAAGCCAAATGACTGTAGAAATATAAAGTTGTGTCTCTAAGGAAATGTCAAGTATTAATATCACAGTACGTGAGAAGGGAAGTGCCTGGAGATGGAACAGTCGCTGACAACCAAGTCCCTAGCTATAAGGAGACGACAGAGCACGCAAGCAAAGCGTTTGGAACGGAAGTCTCGCGAGGGCGTTCAGTCACTGATCCCCGTCCTTGAAGCTGGCCTTGTTTGGCAGCTCCTCCTCACTACTTCTCTCTCTGATTTGTTCTTCTCCTGTCAGTCTACCATAGAAGCTTGTCTACTTTCATGCCAAAGGTAAATAGTCCTGCTGCTGCCCCTCCCAGCGTGGAAGCTGGAATAAAACTGAGGGCAAAGAGAACAGTGACTAGAAGTAGAAGGCAGCGCTGTCTGATGCTCTTTGTCCCTCATGCACGCACAGATAAACCCCAGGGATACCCTGAGGCTCTGCAGCCCTCTTTCTCTCCCTGAAAGGAGGCTTGCACCCAAGCCCCAAACTCTGGGCTTCTTTTGGTGACAAAGCCTTCTCCAAAACTGGGTCTTTCTGCGGGTGTTTTCCGCTAGCATCCTGCTGGGCTGTGCCACTGACAGGCGTGTCACCTGCTCCCAGAGATGAGGGAGTGCAACACGTGGCCTATCGGGGGCTTGTGTTGGTTTCTGCTTTCCAGGTGTCTCAGAACAGAGCCCTCTACTTAGTGCCTTCGAGGAAAGACATTGTTATCGCCTTTTGAATATACTCTGCTGGGAAATTCAAAAGTAGTTTTGCAAAATGATTGTTTATAAAGAAGAAAATGCCTATGGTTTTCATAGGTTAGTTAGCACTCAGTTATTTTTATTTATAAGAGACAGTTATATTTGTAATCCAAATTTGTAAATGCTTGAAATGCATTCTGTAGTTTGTGTATGTGCTGGGGGTGGGATGAGAAAGAAGAGACAGCTCAGCCATCCCCTGTAGTGATCTTGGGGATCCTCAATATTAAAATGAGGGTTCAGTCTCTACATTAACAGGTGATCCAGAAACAGCAGAGTAAAATGTGTCACAGGCATAACACTGAAAATGACCTTCAACTATACAGAAAGTAGGCACCATCCATCCGTGAATCTAGAGTTGACTACCGTATGAAACTGCACGGCCTGTTTCTGCTAAAAGCTGTTCATCACTTCTTTCGGTTGCGCTCCTATTTATAGATTTTATTTCTGTTATCAGAGAATGTAATGTGTGTGCTGTTAATTGATGGGGATGACTTAATTACAGCCCAACAGTTTCCAGATGAGCTGGCCACACAATGAATCATAATTGTAGCACACGGTCAGGACACTGAGGGTCTGATATTTAATCCAGAAAATGATTCTTTCTTACTACTGTATTTATTATATAAGAGCTAAGGGGAAACAAGCCTATTAATCCGAAATTAGCATGTGATGCCTTTTAAAAACGCATGTTTTCTTTAGCGTGTTAGTCTCAAAATAGCATCAGCCTTCAGATGGTGATGTACCCAAGAACAAGTCTGTTGACAGGGCTGTGCTCAGCGCTGGACTTGGTCATGCAGGATTGATACCTGACTTTGAAACATGTTTAAGTATGTCTAGAGTCTTCCCTCTAAATGTTAGCGTACCTCGGGCTCTTAGGATTTCCTCCTGGGCTCCTTTTCCTGCCTTTCCTGTGTTCTTAAAATGCACTCTTTATTTCCCCCTTCCTGTTTTCTTTGTCTATATTTTTAATTGCTTTTTGAATTTGAACTCTTCTCTATTTTAAGCATTTGCCCCAGATCCAATTTGTAAATGAAATTTTGCCTATACCACGTGTTTCAAGTCAAGAGTATGCAGTTCCCAGATTTATTTTTACATGTTGATGCTTAGAAGTACATGTGGTAACATGAAATTTTTTATTTCTTAATATGCAAATTGAATTTATTTAAGTCATTTCACTGAGGAAGTTGGCTTCAAGTTTAGTTATAAGTAAATTTTTTTTCTGATAAAGGAGGAAATCTGTTTTGCAATAATGCTTATTTCTTAGTAAAAAACATATAACTTACTTTTGGATACAAAGGTTTTTCAAGAAGAAAATATAAAATTGCACTAATATTTGTAGCATAATGAAATCTAATCAGAGGAATCTTTCAATTGCTTAAGTTTTTTGTACTCCAGACTAGTAGAAACTTGTTTGTTTTTTCTTTAAAAAAATCAGAAGCTTCTTAAGAAACATTCTTTTTAAAAATTATTTTCTTTAAAAATATTTTGCATTAATTTTTCTGTTTTGTTTGTGCTGTATTTCATGTTATACTGTATTTTAGCAATTTGATAAAATATTAACAACATTGGATATGAAAGAAAAGTTGATTATTTCCTTTGTATGAAATCTAATTATTCTTTCTTATGAAATCCAGGCGATGTAGTAACAGGAAGCGATGCTCAGGTTTCTGTTCCTGTCCAGAATCTAACTGACCTCCAAGGTACAGTTTCCATAGCGATGTAGTGTGCATCACTCTGCCTGCAGCATCATCATTGCCTCCTCAAAAACTCCATTTTTCCTGCCCCCCCCATTCATGCTGTTTATCAGTTCACTATCATTGTTCAGCCACTGAGTGGCGCTGTTGTGTAGAACAAAAGTCCCCTCTCTTGTCCTACCTTGGTGATGCTGAATCTGGCTGTGATGTGGGTTTTCTGTCAAATGTGTGCAAGCCTACGGTATCCTTGTGAAACAGGATTCCCTCTCTATTTTGTGGTGGTGTGAATGCTGCACTTCATATGGCAGCTCACACTGGAGATGTTCTTTTCATTGCACACGTATGCCATGAATGTCCAGTTTATATGCCGTGATTGGCTAGAGGCATTAAGATTTTGCCTCAAAGGATTGCAACCTGATTTTGAAATGTTTTGAAGTACATCCTTTAAGCTATGAATTAAATTAACACAAAGTACAGTGTAGCAAATCTCCATATATGGTAACTAGTTTAAGATAAAAAGAGAACATTTTGTTTGCATAGAAATACAAAAAATGGCAACCCATATTCAGTACCTCCTGTGGAATTTTAAAATATAAATATTTTAGGTTGTTGCATTAATCTTTTATGATGCAGTCTTTTCAATGAAATATGCCGTAGAGAGGATTTCTGTGTCAAATGGAAGCCTAGACAAACTTTTAGAATCTTTAATTCAGGAGACCAAAATACCCACATAATACAGTCAGACAGTAGTGTTAAAATGCTAACAGTTTTAATATTTTGCCATACTTGCAGGTTTTTACAAATTTAACAGAAAAAAAATGGATTATAACTAAGAGATAAATGATAAATTGGCTTAATGTAAAAAAAAAAAAAAATACACCACGCTGTGGCAGTGACAGAGTGGGCTCTGCCAGCTGCACCCGCCTGCGCCTGCGCTGGGTTCTGTGTTTCACAGGCCCCTTTCTGGCCTCCTTCTGGTGATTAAACCAGCTGACCCTTAAGGGCTTGGACATTCCAGGAAGAGCTGCTGATTCTTCTTCTCTCTTAAGTGATCTGCATTTAAAAAAATAAAGGGAGTGGAGAAGCTGGGAGAAGGGAGAGAAGGCAGACAGCCTCCCCAGGATTTCCCTAGATGCACGTTAATGTGATGGTCTGATGCAGTGAGAATTCACAAGGTTTAGATTTTAGTTCCCTAAGGTTAAATTCTGGCCTCACAGGCAGCTTTTGCACAAGTATTCTGTTATCCCACAGTGAACGATTGCAGTGTAGATCTTTGGCCTTTCAGCAAGGCGTGCGCTACAGAGCCCAATGTATGCCAGCAGAAAGAGAAAGCTGAGGGTCACCTTGCTTACTCCGATGCATTTTTTCCTGTAGACCAGAGCCGCATGAACAGTGTTCCGTGGTTACTAGAACTTTGAAGTGGGAGATTATATCATATCGTTCAAACAACTTGTGTTAGATCAGTAAAATCATCTCACTGAGGGGTTGCTTGGGCATTATTTTTGCTTTTGATGACCCAATCAAGCCTGCACAAACAGGAAGTGGCTCTTTCTCTGGATACCTTGTTCAAATTCCCTTCTGCCTCCAGATCCCATCATCTGATAGAGGTGATTCCAGCTACTTTGAGATGTGAATCCCAAGTAAACAGCTTTCAGTCTGTGATGATGCTAAAATGATAAGACAACACTTACCTTGATTTGCCCTCCTGAAGTCTGAAGTGGCTTGCGAATAGGCCTGTACTCACAGATGGAAGCCTTTCTCTCTCTCTCCCTCTCCCTCTCCCTCTCCCTCTCCCTCTCCCTCTCCCTCTCCCTCTCCCTCTCCCCCTTTCAAATAAATGGATGGATCTGAAAAAAAAAGAAAAGAAAAAAGCGAGTGAGCCTATATTCAGTGTCTTAAGAACACTTACAATATAAACTAATGGTAATAACTGTCATGGGTTAGAAATCCCGAGGACCAAACTGGGCCAGAGATGTGAACGCAGGAAGTTTAGTCGGGAGTCCTCAGAGCAGCACCGGGAACGAAAGAATCCCACTGGGCAGAGCAGAGTGGGTGCTGCTGGCAGCCCCGGGGCTGGGCTGCACTTCTGAGTTGTCCACCTTGAGCTGAGGGGGCCGGCATTTTTCCTTACAGACCCGGATCAGCCGCTTGGTGTGGGACTGCTAATCCCAGGGAAGGGGCATGACCCTATGTGGCCAGGGCAGCAGACCATTTCCAGACAGGAGCTCTTGAACGCCGTCGGCTGCCAGCACCCCCAGCAGCTAGAGGAGTAAGGGCCTTGGTTCCAAAGGGGCAGTGGCACATTTAAGCATGTGCTTCAAACTTTAGTACAATCAAATAAATGTGTGTTTTTTAAATGAATTATTTAATGTAAGAGGCAGGAAGGGGGAGAGAGGAAGAGACCTCCTCTTCGCCAGCTTCACCCCCAAATACCCAGGAGCCAGGAACAATATAGGTCTTCTATGTGGGTAATAGGGACCCAAGTTCTTGAGCCTGTTGCCCCCTGGGGTGGGCCGCAGCAGGAAGGTGGAATAAGGAGCAGAGCCAGGACTCAAACCCAGACACCCTGATACAGGATGCAGGCATCCCAAGTGGCTTTTCACCACTGCAGTAAATGCCCTCTTGCCCCCAAGTATTTTGACTGCTTCTAAAAGCCACAAGAGCTGGGGCCGGTGCCATGGCTCACTAGGTTAATCCTCTGCCTGCGGCACCAGCATCCCATATGGGCACCGAGTTCTAGTCCCGGTTGCTCCTCTTCCAGGCCAGCTCTCTGCTGTGGCCCGGGAGGGCAGTGGAGGATGGCCCAAGTGCTTGGGCCCTGCACCCCATGGGAGACCAGGAGGAAGCACCTGGCTCCTGGCTTCGGATTGGTGCAGCTCCAGCCGTTACGGCCACTTGGAGGGTGAACCTGCGGAGGGAAGACTTTCTCTCTGTCTTTTTCTCTCTTACTGTCTATAAATCTGCCTATCAAATAAATAAATAAAATCTTTAAAAAAAAAAAAAAAAGCCACAAGAGCATCAAGACCCTTGAGTAGCGGTTGGGCTAAAAGCTTGTCGAGATGACTGACCCTTCGGCTCAGGAGCTGTCCCAGTGAGGCCTGGTGAGGCCCAGGGCACCTTGCAGCTGTGAGCAAGATCTAAGCATGCGAAAAGCAGGGATGAGCCCGGACCCCCAGAGGAAATTCTCCAGCATTCCCTTTGGGAACATTCCGGAGACGCCATTTTCTCAAGGTCTAAATGTTTGTGTTCCCAAAAGGCGGAGAACTGTTAGTAAGCAGGTTTCTGTAATTGAGGAAGGACACGTCTTGAATGAGTGTTTATGTGAGATACAGGCCAAGTTGCTTGTTAATGCTACTGCTAATTTGGAACTTGATAATTCAGAAATATGTTCTGGTAAGAGCTTCCCATAGTGCATCACTAAAAGGAAGTTTGTTAAGCAGAATAATAGCTATGACAGAAGCCTGTGGGAGTTACCATCCTCTGAAGGGAGCAAATGGCTTCCGAATTCTTCCTGGATTGTGTCCCTATTCTCACACAGTAAATAATTAAAAAGCTAATTTATTAAGGTAGGTATTCTAAAGATTTCTCCCAGACACATCATTATTTTTTTATGTTAGTTACAAAATATAATTACCTTCGTGCTGTGGAAAGCACTTGGAAATTCAGATCATTGATTTATACCTGTGCTGTTCAATATATTTTCCAATATTCCTGGCCACATGGACCATGGAACACTTGAAATTAATATATTATGATGTTAAAATATGAGCTGCACTTTGAAGAAAAATGAAGGCAAACTATATTAATATTTTTTATTGTGACTACATATTACAGTGATAATAGTTCAGATAGATTAAATGAGTAAGTAAAATGCATTCCACCTTCCTTTTTAAATGTGAATACAAGAAATGAACAACTTTATCCGTGGCTCACAGCACTGATGTATACCGCCCTCTTAACTGGTCGCCACTGGACGCAAGCACCCTTGATGGTGGCCCGTACAGCCATGGTGCTCCTTTTTCCCAACAGGCGAAGCTGATAATGGCCACAGTCTCTGCACTTGGTACAATATGGCCTTTGCAATACATTTCAACATGTTGCACATATCACACTGCTGTAGAGATTTCTAATTTTCTAATTTCTTCTTTGTGAGTTGGGAAGTATGTATGTAGTGAAGATTGGGGGTGGGGGGGATGAGTAGTGATCAGCCATAGTTCATGTAGAATCTAGAATCAAAGAAAAGGTTCCTGGTTTTATAATAATCTCAACATGGACTCAGGTGATTTGTACAAACTGGGTTAACTTTGTAAGATATTTTTCTGTAATAATACTGTAACTCATTAAATGAAAAAATGTCTATTTCCAGCAGATTTGATGGAATTTTACTTATATATTATACATTTCCTATAACTAGATTAGACATAGAATGTGTGCCTCCTACCCATTTCAGAAGGTATTCACAGCAGCTAAAATTTTGTGAGATGTGGTAGATAGAGGTAGGTGTTTTGCACAACAGTTAAGACACCCACATCCCACACTGGCATGCATAGCTCCACTTCCAATTCCAGTTTCCTGCTAATGCACACCCTGGGGCATAGCATCATGTACTTGGGTCCCTGGCACCAACGTGGGAGACACAGTGTGAGTTCCCAGCTCTCACTTCAGCCTGGCCCAACTGAGATGTGCACATTGGGGGAATAAATCTCTGTCTCTGTCTCTGTCACTGTCTCTATGTCTCTCTGCCTTTCAAATAAATAAAAACAGGAGCAGAAGTTGAGCGCAGCTGAGTCGCTGCTCGGGACCCCCACATCACATATCAGGAAGCCTGGCTGGAGTCCAGGCTACTCCACTTTCGATCAGTCCAGCTTCTCGCTCACGTGAACCCTGGAAGGCAGCACCTCGAGTACTTGGGTGCCTGCTAACACGTGGGAGACGCGGACTGAGTTCCAGGCTCCGGGCTCAGCCTGGCCCAGCACTGGCTGTCGCGAAGATAAGGAGAGAAAACC